TATTTAACTTTATTTATTATTATTATCATTATTATTTTCCAGTTTGATCAGAGAGACAGAGAGAGAGAGAGGAAGTGAGAAAGCAAGCCACCAGGTCCGAGACTTGAACTGTGGTTGGCCATGTGGGAGTCCAGCGCCTTCAACCACCATGCCACTTGCCGGCCCCTGCCCTAGCTCTTGTGGGCAGCTTGTTCACACATGGATCCCTATTACCCCCAAGCAGGTATTTACGTATGTCTGAGCAATCGCAAGACGATGCTTCCAGACACCAGGTGTCACATTTGCTCACCTTTCGACCCCTACAGCACCAGGCATACTGCTTTGCATTTGAACAGGCATTTAAGACATTTTAAATGAATGTCTTCTCAAATTATGACCGTGGCACAAGTCTAATGTGGAAAATGGTGAACACAAGTAAGTTTAAAGAAGATAACTTGCCTATAATCCTATTGGGTGGAAATACACACTGTTAACTTTGGGGAATATTTCTTTCTAGTCTTCATATATGTCTAAAATATTTTAAAGTTAGGATTATAATGTAGGTAATTTTTGGCTTGCTTGTTTTATGTCAGAGGGCACATGTGTGCGTACATGAGGACGAAGTGAAGAGAGAGAGTACTCCTCAATAAGACCTGGCAACAATACAATCCTTTTCCTCTAAATGTTCATCTTGTCAAGATCATGGTTGTACACACACAAACCTGGTGTGTGTTTCAAGCCAACAGAGCAGAGACTCAAACCCTAGTCAGTCATCTGGGACATGGCTTCATCTCCATCAAATTGCTACACTAGGGGGTTGGCCTGTTTGTGGTTTTGGAGAAGTTTTTGTTATAGGGCATGTGTGCTCACCAGAAAGACAGAGAGAGACAGAGAGAGAGAAAGCGAGAAATCACCCCCCCAGGGGGGATGGTCACGCCGCAATCCCTTCTCCTTCTTTCTCCTCTTGAGATCTTGGGCACGCACACACATGTGGCCCGTGTGAGTTTAAGCCACCAGGTCCAGACTCGAACTGCAGTCAACTACATGGGAGTCCAGCGACATAGCCATTACACTAACTGCTGGTCCCTGTTTGTGGTTTTGAATCCAGTTTTTGTTATCCTTTTAGGCTATTTTTCTTTAAAAATGTGGTTTTAATTACTGCATAAGCTTCTTCTAACATTTTCCTATTGCCAGTCATTTATTGCCAGTCAGTTATGCCTTACTCTTTTATAACTGTGCTAGTACCAATATCTGCATACACAAATTTGTATTTTTCTATGCAAAAATGTGTCATGACTTTCCCTGAGACCCAATAGTATTATGCTAAAGACTAAATTGTAGAAATTCATGTACCAGATCAGAAAGTTTGAACAGTTTAAGCTCACTTGATGCATAGTGCAAATAGCCAGGTGGGAAGGCTTATACTCCCTCTGGCCACATAGAAGAATGTTCCATTAACCATACCCTGTCAACATCTATAATGAAAATTATAGATGTAGAAAAGCTTTAGCATAATTCAGTTTCTTCAGTGGGCCAGAAGAGCACATACATTTAAACTCTATGCTCATAAGCAAGATTTCAGAAGGGCCACTTATATTTTACTAAGAGCAAAACAAACCTATGATCAGCAGTCCCCAAATTCAAGACCCTGGAAGCCTTAAAATGCTTTCAGAATATTAGAAATGGAAAATTACTTTAGAGATCACTGAGTAAACCATTTCAGCATATAAATAAGGGAACCAGATCTTGGAGAGGTTAAGTGACCTGGGTAACATATTTGCGTTAAGATTATGATTTGGGAGTCTTACCCACGAGTCATTTCTTTAGGATGGGTTGATACATTAACCTAATGGAAGCAATAAACAATCATTACCAGAGTAAAAATATAGGAAAAAAAAAAAAACAGAGTACGTTTGAAAAAGAAACTATTATTGTTCTAAATTCTATTTTATCTTCATGACACCAAGTCATTGAGTTGTTTTATAGACCAAAGAAAAAGTCATATCTAACTGCTACCCTATCTCAAAATCTCTACCTCCATGATAGATTTTTTTTCTTCCAGAACTATTAAAATATTTAGCATTGGGGGACCAGCAGATGGTGTAATGGTTATGTTGTTGGACTCCTGTGTAGTCGGTGGGTTATGTTGCTGGACTCCCATGTAGTTGACTGCAGTTCAAGTCTCAGACCCAGTGGCTTAAAACTCATGCTCGGTGCATGTATGTGCATGCCCAAAATTCCAAGAGGAGAGATGGAGAAGGGATTGTGGCATGACTATCTCCTCTGAGAGGTGATTTCTCACTTCCCCTCTCACCATCTCTTTCTTTCTCCAGCAAACACGTGCCCTATGTCAAAACCTAAAATTAAAAAAAATAAATTAAAAAATAAAAAAGAGTGTCTATCATTTGTTAAAAAAATTTCGGAGAACATCGTAGGCAAGGGCGTGGCCACAGGAATAATCAGGACTAGACAGATCAGTTTGGTTCCCAATAATTGGGTTGGGGAGCAATATAAGATATGATTATTAAAACCTTGAATATTAACTATAGAGGTTTGAAAGTTATCCAATGAGCTAGGAAGAGCCATTGAAAGTTTTCAAGCCCTGCCACCTGTAAGATAACCCATTACTGTTTGTGTGTGTCCTTCCGATCTCTGTCCTTTGCATTTGTTTCTAATGAGATAATACGTTAATTTTATTCAGTAATTTTCTTTACTTCCTTTGCAACATGTCTAAGATCTTTCCATGTCAACACATCTAGTTTCTAATCAACCTTAGAAACCCTACTGCTTTTTTTAAATTTTTATTTTTTAGGAGCTTTTTGCCTTAGGGTGCATGCACTCACTAGAGACAATGAGAAGAAAAGTGAGAAATCAACCCCCAGGGGGGTTGGCCACATAGCTGTCCCTTGTCCTCCATTCTTCCCAGATCTTGAGCACACATGCACATGTGTTCAGCATGATTTTCTTCTTCTTCTTTAGTTTATTTCCAAGAGAGATTTTTGCTATAGGGCACATGTGCTTGCCAAAGAGACAGAGAGAGAGAGAGAAACAGAAAGTGAGAAATCACCCTCCTCAGGTGATGGCCAGGCCACAATCCCTTCTCCTCCATTATCCAGTTAGGATCTTGGGCATGCATGCACACTTGCCCGGCATATGTTTTAAGCCGTCTGGTCTGGGACTTAAACGGCCGTCAACTATGTGAGTCCAGTGAGGTAAGTATTATGCCATTTGCTGGTCCAAACATCCAGCATGGTTTTCAAGCCACTGGGTCCTAGACTAGAACTATAATTGGCCATGTGGGAGTCCGGCAACATAACCACTGTGCCATCTGCTGGCCCCAACTTTCTATATACTTCTAATAGTTGGCTTCAACAGAAGGCACTTAGCCAAAGCTTTGGAGTTACCTGGCATAGAGGTTTTCTTTGCTGATAATGATCAAATTTTGCCAATTTTTCTGTTGAATTACTGATCATTTTCTTACTGGTTTGTAGAGTAGGCAATTTAGACATATAATGATTTGGGAGAAAAATACTTTCATTCTACGTAACTAGCATTATCTACCCAAGAGGTAGGAAAGATAAGTTTAGTTTCTGGAGATATAGCTAGCTCATTCGTGACAGTGGCCCCACATTATTTCTTTTTTTATTTTGTTTTTGTTGTTGTTGTTGTTGTTGTTGTTATTTAATTTGACCAAAGAGAGTCAGAAAGGGAAAGTGAGAAAGCAAGCTACCAAGTCTGGATCTTAAACCATGGTTGGTCTCTGGGAGTCCAGCACTTTAACCACTATGCCACCTGCCAGTCCCCCACATTATTACTTTATGAATGATCTAAACTGGAAGCTAAGAGCTCTGGAAATTAGAAAGCTGGTATTATTTTCTGTACTTGACTGTCTCCCATAAGATTATCATGATTCTTTATCCTGTTCATTCTTTTCCTACCTATTCAAGAATATTAATTGTGTTTCTTCACAGAAATTTCCAAGGAAACTCTATTTCCTACATTGATAAAAATGTATGGAAATCATACCGTTGGACTGAAAAACTGTGAGTATATTCTCAAAGAAAAAAAATACTGCACTGTGAGAGCTATCTTTGTCCAGAATTTTGAGGGGTGTGTGTGTGTGCGTGTGTGTGTGTGTTTGTGTGTCTTTTAGAGAAGAGTCCTTTTTTTTTTTTTTTACAATTTACTTAATTATTGTTATTTTTTAACTTGACCAAAGAGAGAAAGCCTCCATGTCCAGGACTTAAACCATGGTCGGCCATGTGGGAGTCCAGTACCTTAAGCACAATGCCATCTGCCAACCCCTTGAAGACAATATTTGTAAGAAATAGTATTTCCCCTTTTGTATCAACTCCCTGCATATTCTATATCAATCTTTATTGATTGCAATCTGTGATCATTTTTAAAATTAAATTTGTGGACCCTTTTCAAAATAAGAGGCTATATAAATGTATTTTCTATTACACAGCAATATATAATTGTGTTCTTCATGTGTAAAACTGAAATAGGGCCAGCCAGTGGTAATAGTGGTCAAGGTAGCTAGATCTCTCATGGCCAACTGTGCAGGAAGGGTCCCAGGTCCAGTAGGTTGAAAATCACACTGAGCATGTGTGCATGTGTGCCCCAAATCCCCGGAGAATGGAGAAGTGACTGCAGCATAGACAGAGTCTCTCTGCATTTTTTTTTTTTTTTTGGCTGTATCTTTCTGGTAATCTGCAGAAGCATATCTCATTGGAATAGTGTATTTTTTTTCAGAGACAGATTTTTGCTGTAGGGTTCATGCACAGACAGATTCATACATAAAGTAAGAAAT